CCCAAACTGACTAAGACTTAGAGATACCACTCTCTGTGGTAGTGCATTTCCTGGTATGAGCACAAAAACTAGAGTAGAAAATCAATAGTGTAAATTCTATCACTAGTCTATCAATAGTGTAAATTCTGGGGTCAGTTTTGAAGAATTAATGGAAATCTACCAGGAAGTCAAGAGGGAAGAACATTCCAAGGGGTGTCAAAGGCTTGGAGATGAGATGCATTTCCATGTGTTCAAAGAAAGGAGAGATGCATGTCTGGAGTACAGGGTACGTAAACAGGCCTGGGAGCATGATTATTGATTATTGATACTCTATTAGCACTTGTATTAATGGGTCATACACAATGTCCTGGTCTCCTTCTCTTTGATTTTTGGATGTTTTCAGTTTATGGAAAGTAAACCAGTTCATATTTTCACATTTTATAGTAAACTTTCATTCTCCTGAGAAGGAACTCATAGGAAATCTTGTTGGGCACTGATTTTCACTTTCCTACATCTTCAGTCGCCCATTAGATGAGGCCCACTGGGAAGTCACAGCTCGTCAATTAGCACAGCCAGGGGAAAGCAGGAGTGGAATCCTGCTGTCTGTCATGCAGGAGGTTGCCCACTGTGCCTGAATTCCTGGGTGAAAACAGCACATCTCTTCCAGAGCATCCCTGAAGGCCAGGAGGTAACAAGGTGAGGACCCAGCTCTGTAGGAGGAGAGTGGGACAGGGGGAAAAGCCCCACTCTGGCTTCAGCACATATCAGCCTTGAGACCTTGGTCCTGACACTAGTGACTGGAACCTCAGGTTATTCTTCTGTAAAGACAAGGATAGTAATACCCTCCCCTCAGGACCACTTGAAGGATTAAGATGAGACTTGACATCGATCCCACACCAGTTATTAACCCTAAATAACAGTGGCTTAAAGGAACCAGGGGTTGCATGTTTCCCCCTCTTTATGAGTTTCCCTGCTTTGGTCCTTGCCCCTGTAATCCATTCACAGCAGCTGAAAGAGTATTCAAAATTGAGTCCGATCATATTGAAACCCTCTTACATGGAGTAAAAGCCACCATCCTCTCCCAGCCCAGAAGGCCTGACACATTTTTCCCTTCCCTTCCTGAGCTCCTTTCCCACTGCCTCCCTTTTTCTCCCTGGCATCTTTGCTGGCCCTTGTGTGCTGACAGTCCCCTCCACCAGCTGCCCTCTTCCTCCAGAGTTTTGAAACTGTGTTGACAGCTTGCTTTCCTCTTCTTCAGATCTTTGCTCAAATGTCATGTTCTCAGTCCCTAACCATCCTGTTTAGCCCTATAACTACCCCACAAGGCCCCTATTAATATTAGCCTCTTCTTACAGATGAGGAATCTGAGGCTTTCAGAGCTTAAATAACCTAAGTCACATAGCCATTAAGTGTCTGCATCAGTTGGGATACCACCAGTGGAAAGGAACAAAGAGCCCAACTTAAACAGTCCTAAATAGTAAAGGGTATTTTTTAGCTGAAGTTCAGTGGAATGAGGCTTCAGGCAGGGTTTGATCAGGCTCTGGCACCATTTCTCTGCTATACTTGAAGCTTTACCTTCTCCATGGACAGCCTACATCTTTATACTGTTTTTCCTTGTGGTCACAAATAGCTTCTGCAGTTCTAGGGAATCATATCCACGCATGACACTGTCCAAAGACAAAGGATATCAATTCTGGGTAGCTCCTGAAAATTGGAAAATTACAAGAGAAATAACACTTAAAATTAACATATTATTTGCATTTTTAAAACTTCCTTATAGCAAAAGGCACTATAAACAAAGTCAAAACACAAACAATAGGCTAGGAGAAAATATTTGAAACACACATAGCAGAGAAAAGGGCAAATGTATCTTGAAGACAAGGAGCTCCCAGTGAAAACTGACCAAGGTTCCGAGAGGCTGATTACATGGGAAACGGACAGCCTCCTCTGCAGCGAGATAACATTTCTCACCATATAATTTGCAAAACATGAAATCACTGATAACAATGAGTGCTGGCAAAGTGCAGAGAAATACATATCCCCTTATTCTGTTTATAGTGCCATCAATTATGGCTTTTTAGAACATAATATGCATACCCCTGAACTCAGCAATCCCACTTCTGGGGATTTATTCAGTCAAAATAAAAGTACTAATGTATAAAGATGTATTCAGGAATTCTTGTCATGTATTCTATAGTAACAAGACAAACAATTAAGCAAGCAAAGTTGGAAACAACATGAATACCCATAGTAGGGAATTGCTGGATAAATGATACATTGTATGATACAAACATACTATGGAATACTGTGTAACTATAGGTCCATGGCTTTTTATCTGAAACCCTTGGGGCAGATATGTTTTCATAATTCAGAATTTTTTCCAGAAGTAGAAATTCACTTATATTAGATAATATATATGATAATAATATAAAATAACATGCTTAACATAATATGTAATAATATCTTAAATAATATATTTTTATACTATGTAATACTCCATACAGGTTTGTGGGAACACCTTGTAATCAAATACGTTAATACTTGATTTTATTGGATATTTATCCAACAAATAAATTTATATGGATAAATTTATTGGAATAATTTATTCCATTCATCCAAAATGGAATAAATGAAACTGAAAAAGAATGTTTCAGGTCAAATCTTATCACCAAAATAATTGTGGAAAAAACTGGACTTAGAATGGAGGATAAAGGATTGTGGATGTCATAGGTAGACCTATGTATACTAGCTTGGGGGACATTGGGGGGCATTGTGGGTGTACATTCTTAGGCACACTCCATGATACATGGCTAAATTCAAAAGTAACTTTTAGAGTGACCCATGAAGTATGATCTCATTATTGCAAGAACAAACCAAAGCCCCCATATATATGGATATGCATTTGCATAAGCCAAGAGAAATCATGGAGGAGCCAGATGAATTGTGTGATTGATTACATGGGGGTGGGAGAGACATTGAGGGGCTTAAAGGGGTAACCCAAAAACATGTCTGTATTCTTTCACTTATTTTAATGAGCTGGCATCACTTTCATAATGAAAATACCAAACTTTTGAAAGAGGGGGAAGGTGCAAGAAAACCAAACGAAAGCCATATTTGAGAGTTTCATAGTCCTCTTGCAATGCTGACATGTGCCACCGTGTGTGGAACTATGTGGGTGTAGGGCACAGCAATGACCACAGCATACACTCACCTTCACATGCAAAGCGCAAAACAGTAATGAGTTTTCTTTCTTGTTGGTATCAGAAATAAGGGAATAGGAGGGTGCAGGGGATAGACTGGTCCTTGCTGGAGAAGAGGGGTTTTGAGTCACTCCTTGGCAGGATAATAATGCTAAGAGCAAACACTTGTGAGAAGCTTCCCTACTTTCTGCACGTCAGCCTCACTCTAACCGTTTCATGCGTATAAACTCCCTGATTTCTGCGACGGCCTTCTGAGATAGGTATTTTATTATCATTATCCCCATTTTATAGGTGAGGAAACTCAAGCCCAGGGAGATTAAGTTATTTGCCCGAGGTTATACAGCTACTCCCAACAAAGCTGAGGCCCAAACCAAGGCAGTCTGGCTCAGAGTGTGTGCACCCAACTACTACTACACACTGTCACTTTTCAGACAGGACCATGGATGGCTGAATGGAGACATACCCATTGCAGCCACAGGGAGGGGCCTGAGGAAGCCCCAGAGTCTAAAGCAGCCAGGGTATGTTCTAGAAATGTTACCTATGTAGGAATACTGTGCCTCCCAGCAAAGACCTGGCTGGATGCCTTAAGCTTCATTCACAAGTACCTGAGAGGATTATGGATCCTCACTGAATCCTCACTGATGCACCTTGCTGCTGCATCTCACCTAGGATCACTGGACAGATAGCTGGCTGAGCAGCTTGCTCACACGTCAGTGCTGGCAGTTCAGTCTAAGATTAGAGGGTTGTATGTTACACTGCTGGTGCTTTTTTTGTCCACTGTAGCTGGTCACATCGGGCATACCCCTCCCGTGTGTAGTCCCATGGGCTTCTCAGCATGCCTCAACGCACCTGCTCCAAAATGTGTTTTCCCATCTCTCGGTGATGCCTTCCAAGTCCCTCAGAGTCAATTTTGCATGTGCCACCGATCTATGCATTTCAGTCCCACATCCCAAATACCACTGTCAGGTTTGGTGAAAATCCAACCAGCCATTTTCACATGATATGATGACAGACAAATAGAGAGAAATGTAATTGCAGTTATAATTATTATCCAGGGCTCTCTGAGCTGGAGTCGTATGTGTACCAAATTCCCCAAAAAGCAAGTACTGACCAAAATTTCCCAGAAAACAAGTACTGACCATTTGGGTGTTTCCTTCCTCCCTGTCCCCTTCCTTCCTTCTCTTCTGTTTCCCTCCTTTACCTGCACATCACTGAGTTTCCTTCTCTCCTTCTCTTTCCCTTTACCTTCCTTGTCATGTTTCTTGAACACCTACTTTGTAGGTACACCCAGCCTATCCATGCCCATCTGCTGCCATCACTTCAGCCTGGAGGAAAGGTGGTCTCAACTCCCCACCCTTCTCCCTACTAAATTCATCAGCTACAGTACTAAGGTCTCCAGTAACCATAGCAGACAAACAGCAGAACAAGCAGTGTCCTCTGGGTGGGAGAATCCTTCACCCACCCCTGCCCCAGCCACGGCCCACCTACAGTTTTCCTGAGAGAAGGCGTCTGGAGTGACCTGTCTCATTTCTTTCCAGGAGCTTTAATTCGCCACATCAGTGTCTCCAAACTTTTAATCCATAAAAAAATGTATCCTGCCCCTCAATATATTTAGGTAAAAATAATATGCATGTTACCAAATGAATTTACATTGTGAAACATGCACACAAAATAAACATTTGTAAAGCATCCTATAAGATAGTATTACAAATAGAAGTTCTAACGTTTTCTTCCCGGTATCCCATCTTGCAAACCACAGCTTTAAATAACCCAGCTGCCTGCAGCCCATGCTAACTGGAGTTTCTGTTTCTGTATTTGCAGGACATGTTCACATTACAGACTTCAACATAGCGACGGTAGTGAAAGGAGCAGAAAGGGCTTCCTCCATGGCTGGCACCAAGCCCTACATGGGTGAGTGTTCCAGGCCCCTTCTTTTCATGTGATCAGGCTCAATGCCTAAGACTCAGCATCCTTCTCTTGTTTCGTCTGCCACTGCCCGCTGCCACACACCCTCCTCCCATGCTCCCATGAGGCTCCACAGTTCCCAGTAGATACAATGCTCTCTCGAAGCTCTGGACCTTTTCCAAGCTGTCTCCTCTGCTAGACAACCACTCCCCTCTTGGTTTTTCTAGAGAACTCCTGCTCAGCCAGAGAGCCATGGCTCAGGCTTGAGAGGGTGGCAAACAAAACAAGTACTTTCTTTTCCATTTACGTTCAGTATTTTCCAGAATTTAACTTGGTGATGGCCATTCTGGGTCTATATTCTTAGACACACAGTGTTCTTTCAATATGCAGTTTTAAATCGTTTTTTTAAGGAATTTTTATGGAATTATCATTTTTAGTATGCATTCTGTTCTCTTGCTTTTATTTTCTTGGTTATGAATGCCTCTTATCTGAATGCTGGATCTTCTTTGCCAATCTTCAACATTTCTCACTGTCTCTCAAATCTTTACTACCTCTTCCTTCATTTCTTTAAAAATGTTCTCATTGTTATATTTCTCTTTCTCCCAAGGCATTATCTATTGTGTTTATTTGTTTCGTGCATTTTCTAGTGAAGTCTTCATTTCTGAAATCATTTGCCCTTGATTTCTTTCTCCCTAAGTTCTCTCACCTGATTTCTGAGTTTTTTATTCTAATTTATGTTGTTTTTCATGTCTTATATAATTTTGTTAATGCTTTTATTATGTGTTAATTCTGAATATCTATATTGTTATCAATTGCTGTGTAACAAACTGTGGCAAAACATAGTGGTTTAGGACAATCACAATATTATTTCTCGCAATTCTTTTGGTTGACCAAGTGTTTTCTCTTCGGGTTTAGCTGGGTTCACTCATGAAAATGCATTCAGCTGGTAGGTCAGCTGGGAGCTGGGTCCAGCTAGGACAGCTGAGATGAACATATCACTCTTTCTCTATGTGGTCTTTCATCATCGAAGTGGCTAGAGTGAACTTCCTCACATGCAGTTTCAAGATGGTAGAGCCAGTTCCCCCATGCTTATCAGGACTCTGCCTGCTTCACATTTCCTGATGTTCGGTTGGTCAAGGCAAGTCACATAGCCAACCACATGGAAGGGAACTGCATGGAGCATGGGTATCAGAAGGCTGATGCATGGGGGAACTGTGAATGAAACAACCCATCACTGTGTCTTTTCACTCCTTTGAAACGTAGTCTATAGGTTCGTTCTGTTTTATCAGCACATCTTTCTGTGTGTTTGTATTGCAGTGGTGTTATTCTGCTCTTCAGTCTCCTTTTACTTGTAATAACTTGGTATGGAATTGAGTCTTTGATACTTTTCTGTTTCTCTTTTGTTTCAGTAATTGTTGATGATTACTCATATATCATATGCATGAGTTTTATGCCTAGATAATCCACATTTACCATTAAAAATAATATAAGAGATACATGTTTAAGGCTAGAAAATGTAATCAGTGCTGCACAAAGGTACACACACATTTACAGCCCAAATTTCTCCATATCTTTCTTCCAAAGGTTATTGCTTTTAATGTTTTCCTTTTGTTTTCCTTTTTCAAATGGAAGAAGGAGGCCTTAGGAAGCATAGAATCTGATAACTGGATGAAGCATTTATAGGTGATACCAAACCAGAAGTGCAACTTTTGCTGCAGAAAACTAACCACTGGGATGAGGAGTCCGCCATCTTGGCTGAACTCTGTGCTGCTGTCTGTCATTCAGCAGTGAAAATGCCCTGTTTGGCCTCACTTACCTCTGGCCAGATTGTGCCTTATAGGGCACCGTATATTGAATTAAACAACCAAAATCTTTCCTCCCCAGCCTCATAAACAGCGCCTAAAACCGCCTGGAGGAGTTAAGAGTTGCACATGGGTATTGGAGTGGAGGAGGAGGCTTAGTTTGGACATGGTGGAGGGTTTGAATTCCACATGGCCTGAGGAAGAAGAGACCTCCCTGAGCCCTTGGCAAAACCTAAATTCCAATCTATCTTCATGAACACTAGGGTTTTGGGGATCCACTATATCCTTCTTATTATCTTCCTTACAGATTTAAAAAGATATGACTATTTCCCTGGAAGGATAAATTCCACCTTTGGACTTGAGATCAAAATAGAGCCAGCTGAGGGGCCTCCAGCAAGAGAGAGGGGTAGAAATTGCTCATTTTATGCGAACTTTGTTTTTCTAAACTTTTTGAAGATGATGTGGTTCAGGATCGCATTCCTAACTTAACAGACCTATCTCTTGTGTTGTTTTGTGAAGTGTCAACATCTAAGGCAGCTTGCTAACCAGGTTTCCTGGCTTTGTTCTCCTCTCCCATTTTTATCTGGAGTTCCTGTTTCCTTTGTCTGTAGGGTCCTTGTCCTGATGCATTTTGGTTCCACGTCATACAGTTTTTCCTTGGGGCTTTTTCCTGGAAGGATTTGTGACTGGGTGGATTATAGACTTTTGATGGCCCGATTCTTCCACCTCCTTCAGAATTTATCGAGAGCCCTTTCAATGCCCCTGATACTAGACTGGGCAAACTCCTACCAGCTTCAGCTGCTGTGCTCAGAGTGGTCAGCTGTGTTTCCCAGTGAATACCTGCTGAATACCTTGGAGTTCTTTGTTTTCTGGTCCATAGAATGCTGCTTTGCTGCTTCTATTGGTTTCTGTGTAGAAATCACTACCATGCACTTCTTGTCACTGTGGGTGTTTTGCTCCTACCCACCTGTATTTTGAGGGTTGTGGAGACAACTTATTTTTGTAGCAAATGCATGCATGGGTTTTTGGTTTAGCAATCTATTTTCTCTGTTTTATATGCAAATTTGGGGAGATTCAAAATCTATACCATCATCTCTCTAGAACCCACTACTCATGTCGTTAATCTTTCATTTATTAAATAAATTGAATAAATAAAGTTTGGCTGTAAATAAATTGAATAAATAAAGTTTGGCTACAAATACCCTCAATGGTATAAACAATAGGCAACTTGCTTTTAAGTATTGACTACATGTCAGGCACTGAGCTAAGTGCTTTCCACCTATAATCTAGTTTAACGTGAAGACAGGCCCATTAACTATAACCTATAACCTCTTCTAATGCCCTCAAACATGGGATAGACACAAGTATTTCTTTCCATTTTAGAGTTAAGGAAATGGAGGGTTAGGAGGTTGGGTGACTGACTTCCCCATGTTGACATTGTTGGCAAGAGTCAGACCCAGGTAAATGTGACTCCAAAACCTAAGCTCTGAAGTACATCTCAACCTGGCCTCCCATGACAGCAACTCCTTTTTAGCAAAAATACCAGCAGATATCCATGTAAGTGAATTCATTCACTTACAAGTAGTCTTCATGGGAGCCTGAACACTTACTCCAACAAGGCTTTTTTTGTTGACGACCTTTCTGAGATCCCTTTCTGGAAGGATCTGGAGCTGGGGCAAATCTGACCGAAGAAGTCACTGCGTTGAGAGTCAAGAGAGATCAAATGGGCAGGATTCAGCAACTGATGGGATGGAGAATGGGGGCAAAGGCGACTTCCCAGGTCTCTGGATTTTGCGGCAGAGTGGTGCTCACTCTGTAGGGGACACAGCAAGACCAGTAGGTTTGTGGAGTGGCATGATGCAGACTGGACATGTGGATGGAGAACCTGCCGGCACTGAGATGCAGCACAGCCAAGGAAGTGGGCGGGATACCCCAAGAAAGATGCAGGAAGGCAGAGAACCAGATTCCAAGGCTCAAGAATGCCGTGCTGGAAGGGGCACGTGGAGGCTGAGGGGGACATCCCACAGGGGAGTGCCAAGAAGAGAGACACGAGGTAAGGGCAGCAGCTCCCATTAGAAGCCTCCTCGTATTCCTACAGATTCGTTCTGACTGCTTTCACGCTGTTTCCAAAAAGCAAATTGATGTCAAGGGGTGTAGATCCTGGACCACTGGAGAAGTTCAAGACAGTTTTTGTTTTTGTTTTGTTTTGTTTGAGACAGAGTTTCACTCTTGTCACCTGGGCTAGAGTATAATGGCATGATCTTGGCTCACTGCAACCTCTGCCTCCCAGGTTCAAGGGATTCTCCTGCCTCAACCTCCCAAGTAGCTGGGATTACAGGCACGTGCCACCACACCTGGCTAATTTTTGTATTTTTAGTAGAGACAAGGTTTTACCACGTTGACCAGGCTGGTCTTGAACTCCTGACATTAGGTGATTCATCTGCCTCAGCCTCCCAAAGTGCTGGGACTACAGGCATGAGCCATTGTACCTGGCCAAGTTCAAGGCAGTTTTCTGCCAGCCCTGATGTCTCTGCCTGCACATGGCACCATGCCTGACAGACTCACCCGAGCCTCCTCAAAGGCTCTACTTGGGCTTCCTGGCCCCGCTCTCTGCCTCACACTGTCTGAGGCAGCCCAGTCCAGGTTCTTAGTCTCCAGGAAAGCAGAGCCATGGGGACCCAGCTGGGCACTCTCCTCCATGGCCCTGCTTCCTAAAGGGAGAAGAAATCTGGCCTGTATTGGGACCTCGCTACCTGCCTGTCTTCACATTTAATCCTCGGAAGATTCACACGACGTTTCTACATCTCTCTTATTTTATGTGTGAGGAACCTGAGGTCCGGAGAGGTTAATTAGCCTGCCCAGGGCCACACAGCTCGTCAGCAAAGGAGCCAGGATTTGAAGCCAAGTCTGTTTGCATCTGAAGTCTATGCTTTTGCTGCTACAACAAGCTGCGTTTTTGACACTGAGCTCCTGAATTATAAAGACGACTTTCTCAGCCAAGAAATAAGTTCATTGTCCCAGCTGTAGGTGAGAGTTGGGGCTACTGATGTCCTTCCAATTAGAAAAGCTTCAGGCCTGACTTAATGGCCAAATGTACAGAAGAGATTTTTATAGGCTTTAGAGGACACAGCTGATTTTTCCAAATGGTTGTATTTTCAGACATTGTAGTTGGCGAACAGTACCAGTCTGTGGGAGTTTAGTGGG